AGTTTAGACAACTGTGTAAAGTTAAACAATCTATAGCTTACTTGTACACGCGACTGAAAGCATCGATAAACAAAACAAAATAAAATCAACTTTATTAACGCCTGGCACAGACGGAAAGAGGAAAAGCCCTTTGCCAGCGCTAGAAAATCCCTCCCCCACATTTCCCTCTCCCTTCGCGCACTTTTTTCTTTACCCCCAGGTTTCTGAGAAGGGAAGGGACTCACCCGGGGTTAAGATTGTAAAGGGAAGATGGGAGAGCGAAGGAGAGAGCTCCAAGGAGGCAAAGTACCATGGGGAGGGAATGAAAATAAATGTGGAAGGGTGGGACGCAGAGGATTAGGAACAACGCGAAAGTTAGGTTACACACGAAGAGGTGGAAGAGGGTGACCCCCCATCCCCGCCCACACAACGATACAAATAAGCTAATATCCTAAAATAAATACACAGTGCACCAGAGGTACAAGGGCTGTGCTAGAGGAGGCTTTCTGATGGAGGAGATGAGAGATGGTAGTCCTTTCGCTTCAGCCTTACCTCGTTGGACAAAATGCTTCCGTTGGAGATGATGTCGGGCTGCTGGTCGGTGTAACCGGTGACGATGGCCCCGCAGGGGTTGTGCTCAGTGTCCGTACTCCGGGAAGGGCTGCAGGGCTTAAGGAACATCAGATCGGTCTTGGCGGACTCCGGGGTCAGGCAGACCTGGTAGCAGTAATTCTGGTTGTGGTGGTGGGAGCCAAAGCCCCCGGACTCCTCCACGGGCACCTGGGCCGGGTTACTGGGCACGTTGGAGCTCTGCACCAGCATAATGTCCGACTTGCTGAGTTTCTTCTTGCGCGCCCGGGCTTGGCGGCCACAGCAGGTCGAACCTCCGCCGCCGCAGCAGCAGCAACAGAGGCAGCAGTCGCTGGCCAGACACGTGTAGATGTTGAGCTTCTTCTCTTTCTGGCAGCGGACGGCCAGCACGATCATGGCCAGCAGGAAGATGAAGGACACCGAGCCCAGAGCAATGATAAGGATGAGGGTGAGGTCTAGCGAGGTTTCCCCGCCGCCGGAGCGGCTGGGTCGCTGATGCTCCCCTGACCCTCCGCCTCCGCCCCCGCCCCCGCCCTGGGGCTCCACTGCTCCATCCACTAGCTGAACCACCAGGGTGGCGGTGGAGGACAGGGGCGGCTGCCCATGGTCGCGCACCTCGATCACCAGCTCGTAAGGCCGCTGGGGGTCGCGCTTGGCCGGAACTCGGCGCGCCGTGCGGAGCTCCCCGGTGCGCCAGTCCATGCGAAAGAGGTTCATTTCGTTGCCCCGCACGATGCTATAGGTGAGCCGGGCGTTCTCGCCGTCGTCCGCGTCCACCGCGGCCACACGGGTGAGCAGGTAACCCGGCTCTGCCGAGCGGGGCAGCACCTCGCGCGCCGGAGTCCCGTTGCGCCCTGGTAGGGGCGCCACGATGGCAGGGGCGTTGTCGTTTTGATCCACTATGAGGATGTTGACAGTGGCGTTGCCCGCCAGCGCCTGGGGGCTGCCGGCGTCTCGGGCTTCCACCTGAAAGCTGAAGTCCTTAAGCTGCTCGTAGTCGAAGGAGCGCAGGGCGTACAAGTAGCCGTTCTCAGAGTTGATGGACACGTAGGTGAAGACGCTCATACCCTGGATCTGGCACTCGAGGATAGAGTAGGCAAGCTGGGCGTTGGCGCCCTCATCGCGGTCGGTGGCGCTCACCGCGTAGATGTAGGCGCCCGGCACGTTGTTTTCAGTCACATACACGTCGTAGACCGGCTGGCTGAAGCGCGGCGCGTTGTCATTCACATCAGACACCTGTACCTGGATTGACTTACTGGTGGAGAGCGCCGGCTCGCCCCGGTCCCGGGCCACCACAGTCAGGGTGTAGGAGTCCCCCGCCTCTCGGTCCAGGGGGGCTTCGGTCACGATGGTGTAATAATTCTTAAAGGAAGACTTGAGGCGGAACGGCACGTCCCCCAGCAGCTCGCACTGCACCTGCCCATTCTCCTCTGAGTCGCGATCGGTCACGCTGAACAGGGCCACCACTGTGCCGGGCGCCGCGCCCTCGCTCACCGCCTCCTTCACAGTGCTGAAGCTGATTTCTGGCGCGTTGTCGTTAGCATCCAGCACTCGCACCAGCACCTTGCAGTGCGCAGGCACGGCGTTGGGGCCCAGGTCCTTGGCTTGTACGTATACTTGGTACACTGGGCTCTCTTCATAGTCCAGTTCGCCGCTCACCTCCAGCCGGCCAGTGCGCGGCGAGAGTCCGAAGAGCTCCCGTGCCCGGGGCGAAATGTGGCTGCTGAAGGAGTATACGACCTCGCCGTTCTGGCCCTCGTCCGGGTCGGTAGCGTTGAGCTGGATTACGAGCGTGCCTGGGGGCGAGTTCTCTGGTAGGGACACAGTGTAGACGGGTTGGTCGAAAGCGGGCACGTTGTCGTTGGAGTCCAGCACTCGGATGGTGAGTAGAGCCGTGCCGGTGCGCTGCTGCTGGGGGGGCAGGCCCGCGCCCCCGCCACCTCCCCCTCCTTCTCCTCCTCCCCCTCCTCCCCCGTCCACCGCGGTCAGCACGTAGCGGTGCACCGCTTGCTGCTCTCGGTCCAGTGGTTTCTCCAGCACCAGCTCGGCAAATCGGTTGCCATCCCCCTGGGTCTGCACGTCCAGGGAGAAGTAGCTGTTGGGGGTGATCTCATAGTCGCGCAAGGAGTTGGTGCCCACGTCTGGGTCGAATGCGCTCTCCAAGGGGAAGCGGGTGCCTGGCGTGGCGCTCTCAGAGATTTCCACGGTCAGGTCCGGCTCCGGGAAAGACGGGGGGTTGTCATTAATGTCCAGCACCTCGATCTCCACCCGGAACAGCTCCAGGGGGTTCTCCAGGAAGACCTCCAGGTGCAGGACACAGGAGGGGCTCTGTTTGCAGATTTGCTCGCGGTCGATCTTCTCGTTCACGTACAGCACCCCGGTCTCCAGGTTGAGGTCTAAGTAAGGGGTCCTTGAGTTGGGCACCGTTTGGAATCTGCGAGCCGAAAGTTTTGTAATGTCCAAGCCCAGATCTTCAGCGATATTCCCCACGAAAGTGCCATGTTCCTGCTCCTCCTGTACCGTGTAGTGAAGCTGGGAAAAGACTCCTTCCACCATCCAGAGCAAGGCAAAGAATAATAGCACAATCATCTCCAAAAGGAAAGGAAGTAGCTTCCCGCAGCCAGTCAGCCACCCAATCACCTCCCCCACCACCACGGAAAAAAAAATCTCAAAAAATACAAATAAAAGTACGCTACGTGGGGGGCTCCTGTGGCTTCTTGTCTTTAAAAATCTTACTCCTTTTGCTTCATGTTAGAGCTCCCCCCAATCCAGCCTCATTTTTTAATCTTAGCACAGGAAGGGTGACAGGCGTCCCCTTTCCTCATCTGTAATCTTCCCACTGACCAATTAATAAAATAATGATAATACAATAGTCAGCGTCCTTTATTCCGACAGTCTTGGCGCAACGCGGCGCTGGCAAATCCCAAAGAGGAAATTTCGATATTTCAAGACTGTCCTCGGTTTGTCTTCTTGCTGATGGGAGGAGAATGAGGAGGAGGAAAAGGAGGAGGAGGAGGAGGAGGAAGATGAAGAGGAAGAGGAGAAGGAAGAGGAGATGCTCCTGGCACCGCTAAACATGCCTCTTAATATCAACCGCTGGCAAATGCAAGAGGGCTTAAAAACAGCGAGAGAATTTTGTGCCGGAAAAGCACAGAACGGCTCTGCAGCATAAAACTTTCATTCTCTTCATTTCTCCGGATGAATGTTCTTCTTGACATTTTTTTCCTCTTTCTATTTGTATTTTTTGCCTTTCACCGTCTTGTCTCCTTCTGTCCTCATCTCCACCGTCAGTTGTCACTCTGTAAGTTTAATGAGCAGTTTCCTTTCTGCTGTTTGCTTCCCAAGCCTCTTTCCCTCTAACCTGTCTTTTTTTCCTTCCAGTCTTTCCTTCCTTCTGCTTCAGCCTCAGAGCCTGCGATCTCGGCTGGCAGTTTCTGAGCTCCGAGCGCTCCGCTTCTCTGTTTTTGCGCAGCGCCCTCATTCTGCCAACCAATCACCCAGGAGCACCACCCACCGACCCGCCGCTGATTGGCCAAGCCGGCTGTCCGGCAGGCACGTCACGCGGCAGCCGGGCGAGGCGGAACAGAACCCTCGCCCGGGCTGCTGGGGTGAGTGTGAGTGTGAGAGCGAGAACAGCCCCGCAGGTCCCGAGGCGCTGGCTGGGGACTCTGCCGCGGAAAGTTCCCAGTCCCCAGCCGCAGGTAACGAGCAGGGAATAGCGAGGTTCCCCTGTTTGCATCAGCAGATGCGAAAACATAATAGCAACAGCTGCGGTATCCTCTCCCAGGAGCGGGGTTTCCAGTGATGCTAACATTCTTTTTCCTTTAAGGTATTTTCCCTGCTACGGATCATGGAAATAAAGCACGGAGAGGGGAAAAAGTTGTACAGGGGCCACTGATGGGCAGACGGTATCTAATTAAGGGACCGTAGCAGAGATCGGCAGGGCATTTAAGAAGTCGATATAATAAGGCATGTGTCAGTCTAAGCATGAGGGTCCGAAGGGGCAGTGTGGAAAGGAGCGGAGCAGCTGGGGTGGGGGGCGGAGGTGGGTCCTAAAAAGCGGAGGGATTCGTGCTAAGGGATGTGGGCTGACAGCTTCTGTAGACGTGGAGACGCGTTAGACCCTGAGATCATGTCCCCTCCCTAAATGTTTACCTACAGAATCCTCAGCAAGTAGATGAACTCGCTTGGGGACCTGGCTTTTCGCTGTGACCGCGCGGATCAATGGCCGAGGAGTTTCACTGGCGCTGCTTCATGGAGCCCGCCATCCTCGCGGCCGGCTCTCGGGCACTGGCGCTGAGCGCCAGCAGGCGCTGCAAAGCGCCTCTGATATCCCTGCGCCTCCTGCGGCCGAGTGCTCGCCGCAGCTGGGAGCTCCGGCTATTTTCCGATTTTTTTTTTTTTTTACAACTGAAAACCGACACCCCTACCCCCACCCCCACCCCCGCATAGCAGACTAGGGCACCGATTTCTGCCCAGCCTGGGGTCAGCCCGCTCGGTGAGGAGCGTGGGGCGGATGCGAACGCGGGGGCTGGGGGGTGACGGTGAAGAGCCGTGCACACGCGGGCCCGAGAGTGTGCCGCTGCGGGTGTCTGTGAACACGTTTGCACATGCACGGCGCTCGCGTGCATCCTCCCTGTCCCGGTGCTGAGCGTGGGTAAGCCCCAGCGGAGCCTCCCCGAGTTGTGAAGGACACGCTTGGTCGGAGTGAGTGCGCACTCCCGATGCGCGGGGGCAGCGCGGCGCATCCACAAACCGAGTTCTTGTGAAGTTACGATACGGCGCGAACTCTTTAATGCCGGAGAGTGGCTTGCATGGCAATTTACCAAGGAAAGATTATTTTATATATAAGAAAGATTTCATATATATATATATAAATTAATAGGCTGTTAGCAAGGATTAGGTTGTTTATTCACTGAAGTAGCCCTTGTTCAGTCTCCTCCTCATGCCACAAAATAGAAAGGTCCCCTGCTGCTTTCTGTTAAATGAATGTCCCAAGAATAACACCACCACAACCTACTGGAAAAGGAGAGTCGTTTCCCCGAACCCGAGGTACGTTGCCATTCCCTTCTGGCAGGAAAGGAAGGAGGGCGAGTGTCCAGGGCGTGATTGTAGACTGAGGCAAGCCCGGGCGAGTGCGTGTCTGCTGACCTGCACCGCTCCCCGCTCCCGCGCTTGGCTCTTTCATGGGGGTAGGTCCTGCCTTTGAGCGGTTGGAAGGAAAGGATGCCAACAAAAATGGCTAATCCCTTTCCAGCTGCAGTAAATTGAAGACTGGCCAAAGCCGAGCGAAAACCGCTGCAGTTGAAATGATTTTAGTATCACGTCTGCCGCTGAGAATGGAGCGGCAGTGTATAAAAGGACCTGTGGATCAATGAAAAAGAGTATAGTGTATCTGAATATTAATACGGTATTGCATATGTACTTCCCACCCCTCCCCCCTTTTTCCTCCAGATCTGCAGAATTGAAACGAAATGTTTTGAGCTCTTCAAGCTGACTCATCAGAATCCTGGAGCCTTTAAAAAATGACGGTAATTTTCTAATGTGGTGTTCATTTGTACGTATGAAAACACTTGTGTGTGTGTGTGCGCGCGCGTGTGCGCGCGTGTTTGCGTGTGAGAGACATGCAGTTGAATGACAATGCAGATCCAGAAATTGTTTGGGGAAAACCGTGGCTGTTCCCGAAATGTAGATGAAGTTTGAGCAGACTTGGGGCGTATGTTGAAAGCCAGGGAGCTTCCAGAGGTGGAGATGAGAACGCGGAGAGATGGCCAGATTTGCCTGTAAATAATCACTACATCCACTGTAGCACTTGAGCTGCATTTTTTTTTTTTTTTTGGTAGCTGTGTTTGAATGGGAACTCTCTCTGCAAACGTGGGTTACAGGCGTCTCCTAGCGGCGAAAGTAGCATAGGGCACTCCAGAGAATTTTGCTTTGGAGCTCTTGTTCAGCAGACCTCGCCTTTTGGGGGCTCTACGGGATTTCTTGGGTCACAAAGGGCTGTGCTGTGTCCGCGCCAGCGACGCCGGGCCCAGGTCCTCTGGGTCTTTTCTCTCCGACTTCTAGTCTCCGCGGCGCCGGCCTGGGACTAGCAGGGTGAGGATGGGGTCTTCTTCCTGGAAGAACAGACCCGAGTCTGGTCCTGCTGGCTAGCTCCAGCCAAGGACAATTGCAGGAATATTTTGTTTGGAGCCAAGATCAGATATGGCATTAATAGCCTTCTCTGCCTCCTCACCCTAAAGCCATTAAAACAACCCCACCCCATCACCCACAACAAAATAGCACTTTAAGTTTGCCTTTTAAAATGCATCTTAAATGTAACAGGTTTACCTTCTCCCTTGCTGTGGCAATCAAGCAGACCCCTGTCTTTGCTTTTTCTTTTTCATTCTCCCTCTTGTGCGCACCAGAATTTAGTAAGGTCATGGTTACATATAAGACAGCGTCGGTGGTGAAATTGACTCTTTGAAGTATACAGTGTCATGCATGTTGTGTGTTCCTTGACCTCTCATTACTGAAGTGGGAAGGGAGAAGGATATCTAGCATACATAACCCCTTCCTCCTTCACCCTCTCCCTTACACCCCCAGGAGGGCCAGCTCTCTGGGCCGGAACAAACTGCACTCTAAGAGGGGATTAAGCAGTTTTTAATCATTGGTGAGGGTATCAAAATAAATTTTCATAAAAGTCCTGGTTTATATATGAAGAGTGGTAATGCATATTTTTTTTTTAATTCATTGGGCTCTGAGTGCAGCAAAAAGAAGGGCGCTAAAGAACCCACAAGTGTGTTTTACAAACTTTGAAACTAAGTAAAAGGCGTTGCTTTCTTCCCTACCTTTTGCCGGAAAGAGCGGGAGGGAAACACGTTTGTTAACCAGCGTTTGGATAAATGAGTGTTTGCAGTGATTTAACATGACTCGAAAGCAATTTGTTTCTAAATCCTCTTATTATTGCAGTGTGCCCAGAGCTTTGAGACAAGTTTTTTTTTTTTTTGCAAGAATTGGAAGAAAAAAATTTAATTTATCGATAAGGAGTGTTTCAAAAAACACCAGGCTCCACCAGGGTTCAGCTAGATGGTCCCTGGCACTTGTCATTCCCAGCAAGCACTGCACAGAGAGCAAATGCAAAAGACCCAGAGTGCATTGTATCTTTTATGGGTGACCATGAAATAGGTTTATTTGTGATAGTGTAACCTAACTTAAGAGGTGGGAGGGCAAAGCTTTAAAACCAGTGCCCCAGACACTGTTAGTGTTTGTTCATCTGTGCTAGAGTGAATGTTGAGTAGAATTTCTGGAAAGATTTATACCATATGCTATTTTAAGCTTTCAGGTAACTCTTTAATTACTGCATTCTAATGCTTTGAACCCAACAGACAACAAACCCATCCTTGTTCTTGGGACTGAGAACACTAGATATTCCATTAAGCACCAATATCATGAAATTCAAAGTTGAAATATGCTGTTCCATTTTGTTCAACCCAAAGCCAATATTGGTATGGGTTCACATTTGAGTTTCTTTTCAGTTATCAAACAGGGCCAGCATTTTGTTAAACTCTAAACAGTGAATTAAAAGCACTGAATGAGCTGAAGCAGCCCTTTAATGCAAAATGACAAATTGCACTTAAGCAATACATGAACAAGAAAATGATTTATGGATTTTTACAATGGCCTGAGCAAATGAAAGAAAGCAACATGAATTATACATCCTAATGCTTACAATATCATTTCCTAATAATACTGTTTCAGTTCAGATACTATACTCTCTTCCTTTCTATAAGAGAAATTGATCAATAAGAGGTCCAGGAATATTTTTAAATTAGGCACTGGTTTTTGATACTGATTCCAAATATATATGTGTGTGTATATTTTCTCTGTGTATTGAGGGAGGTGGGTTGATAATGAACATTGGATATACATTCTTGTGAGATCATTCTCATTTTATGTCTTTTGGTAGCAAGTAGTCCCTTGCAAACTTATGTTTGTTCCATGCCATCTTTCGTCATGTAAATAAATAGATCCTATTTAGGATGACAATCTTTATTGCCTCATGACCTCTTTTTCTGAAAATCAAAATGCATTACCTCATCTTACCTTTCCTTCCCTTGCTTTGGATATTGAAATAATCTTATTTCTTCAAAATGTCTCTTAACCTGTTCATATTTGTTTTATCCTGTCTTTTTCAGAATACTGTTTTAATCTTTAGAGTATTAGAGACATACCTAGGTTGGTAAATAGGTTATATATCTTAGTTTTTTTTGGCCTTAGTAGACAAAATAGAACCTGTGGGCTATTTTAAATTACAGGAAAAAAAATCAGTCAAATAAAATTTTATGTGATGCTAGTATTTAGAGTCTTAACAATACAAAAATCTAGTTACCTCTGTATTATGATGAGTGACTAATCCTGGCATTTTTATTTAACCATTTGTGGCTTGTGTGAGTATTTTGGGAGAGGTGTGTAGAATTTTAAGTGGAGTTAATATCTTTGCTGTGTTGCATCCTCAACCACAGGAAACTGCTAATCACCCAGGGGCCTCTAGGGTCATATTATTAGGCTTAATCTTAATTATCCAGGTTTATAAAAAAAAAAAGAAAAAGAAAAAAAAAACATTGAATCCCACTTTCTGCTTTTGACAGCATTAACAACCACTTTTACTGAAAGATTACTGAAATCAATGATGTGATTAGGATTGTAAATAAGAACTACAAGACATCACATTTAAAAAGCCAGCTGCTTTGCTAACAGGGAGATGTGTAGGTTTTACTGATGTGGCCCAGAGGCAGAAAATGAAGCTTCAAACATTGAGGTCGATATGGAACAATTTCAAAAATTAATTGAGAGTCCTGATTAAGTTTATGTGAGTAAGAAAGAAGTTGTCTATGAAGAGCTTTTTTTTCCTTCCCTAGTGGTTGTACTTCTTATTTGACAGTGGTACAAAGCCAGCACAGTTTTAGTGTTTGAGAAGTATGAATTGTTTTCTTAAGGGGGATACACCTTACAGAATGAGATTAACCAAATTGTGATTAAAGTTATAAGTCATAGAGCTATATTCGGAAGAGTTTTAAAATATTATTGGAGACAGACTCTGTGGCAAGTATATCAGACATAGCTTGAGAATTTCATTAATAATCAGAATTACATTAGAATTATAATAGTAAATCACAATAAACAGTAAAACAGTTACTTTCATTTTTTTAAAAAAGTATTTTTCTTAATTTCACTGCCTGGTTAGTATAAGTATTTGTATAAGAATCTTGATTTCCATGGTATCTTATTTAAATAGGCTTAGCAATGCTATATTCTAAAATGCTTTATTCTATTGCAATTTCTTGTATTATTTTAGTCAAAATGACTAATGGTCTTTAAAAAGCTATGTGTGTCAAGAATTCTTACATAAATTATAATACTTAATCTTCCTCATCTGTATGGGTATTTTTTTTTCTTTTTTTTTTTTGAGACAGAGTCTCTCTTTGTTGCCCAGGCTAGAGTGAGTGCTGTGGTGTCAGCCTAGCTCACAGCAACCTCAAACTCCTGGGCTGAAGCAATCCTATTGCCTCAGCCTCCCGAGTAGCTGGGACTACAGGCATGCGCCACCATGCCCGGCTAATTTTTTTCTATATATATTAGTTGGCCAATTAATTTCTTTCTATTTATAGTAGAGACGGATCTTGCTCTTGCTCAGGCTGGTTTTGAACTCCTGACCTTGAGCAATCTGCCCACTTTGGCCTCCCAGAGAGCTAGGATTACAGGCATGAGCCACTGCACCCTGCCTCTATGGGTATTATTATCCCAACATTATAGATAAGGTTACTACTGATGTTCAGAATTTAAGTAACTCAGCAGATTAAGACAGAATTCAAATTCAGATCTTTGACTGTTTATGTCCAGGCTCATTTTATTACCCCATGGGGTTTCTTCAGTCTATCTGAGTTGGATTTAATTAGGAGTAAAGAAAAAAAAAAGAATCAATTTAGAAATGTGGTTCATCCAGATTTTGGACTGAAAGGAATGCTGGTTTTATTGTAGTCAAACCTAGCTAGTAGAACACTATTGAGTCATGGAGGAATTCATAAATTTGAGGATTTTCTTTCTTTTTTTTTTTTAGGTATCTATCAAGAAAACAAAGCTTGAATATGTTTTCTTACAAGAGAGTGAGGTTATAAAGGGTCATTTCTTTCTCATGCAGAAGACTGATTTCGTTCTCATGCCTGACTTAAATGAAGGAGCATGGAAAGTGGTAAGAGAAACATGTCCAAAAAGGAAGCACCTCTGCTTCATCCATTCCTAAAAACACGCTACATTGATCAATGGTCCCAGAAATATTGCCTTGTTCTCTTTGTTCAACAGAGGTCAAAAGCAAAGGAAAAACAAAAATTGTACCTACTTTACACAAGGCAAATATTAGTGTTTATTTTGTATACCTTTCTGAAGTGTTCTTTAATTTAAAAGGGGAAATGTATTTTGTTAAGTGAATGTCAAATATCATGTACTAACTTCTTAAGTGTTGCTTAGAACAAATGCTTTTATTAGAAAATTTTGCAAATGAAACAAATGTATCTGTGACAGGAGAAAAATGGAAAAAAATGCTTAAAATAGTTTTAAATTTGGAAAGAAATAATAAGATAATTGTGGCATCATATTGTGCCATCACTGTAAGTAAATTTTGTATTAATATTTTGGTAGTAGGAACTGACAGAAGAAAAAAAAATTCAATTTCTTTTAGAAGTTTACTCAGTAATTTAGAATACATATAATGTGGGCTCTTTAGGGTAGGTTATACCGTTTTCTTACACTTTTCTGAAGGAACCCAACTGTGGCAGGAGATGATACGGTAAATTTGAAAAGAACATAAATTCGAGAATTAAACCAAATTGGGCTAAAATCCTTGCTTCTTCAAATATTTGAACATACCCAAATTACTTTGAAATCCTGTTAAAGTGTGTCGGACGTTCTAAACATCTATGAAACTGTGATGATATGTTGACCTTGTTCAGTAATTTTGAGGCTTAAACTGAAATGATACATGTAAAATTCTTAGCCCATAGTAGATTTTCAGTAAATGTTAACTATTAATATAGTAAGGTGTTTTTAATGGGGTGGTCCTTACATAGATACTTATTGAGAATAATTGGCCTTAATTTTCCTGGGGATTTTATTTCCTTTCTCAAATAAAAACTATTTGGCCAGCAGGTACATAAACAATTTTTAATTGTCCCTATTTTTCAGGAAATTATAATATGACTTAGAAGACTAGATGCAAATAATAAACGAAGAAGATTAAACTGAATTTAGTTAAGCTTCAAAAACATACACATCAATTATGAGATTTTTCCATAATCATGTTGTTCATTTTAGCACTTTTATTTGCTTTCTTCCAGATAAATTTCAATTTTGCATAACTTCAAATTTATATGATAAAACTGATAAGCAGATAGATTTAAAAAATAATTTTGATAAGATGGCTTTTTCATTTTAAAATACTATTTTCTTCTATATTTGTCAAAATTTTAGGATTAAAGGACTCTTACTTGATAGAGTGATTTCTTTTTCTTCCAATTCTTTGATGTAACATCTTAATATCTAATACTCTATTCATACCAAGGAACACTAAAGTGCTTAAAATTAAAAACAAATTGCTGAAAAATCAGTCACCTAAAATAGAATAAATTCATTAGAATGTCCAATTCTGAGCCTCAAGCCTCAATTGTATTTGACTTTCTCTTCACCATTCTCCTCCTTGCCATTTTCTGCCTGGTATTGCTGTGATCAGCTTTCTCTTTAGCAACTTATTACAACTTGAAAAGCAAAGACACTCAGAAACTTTCATGGGTGCTGGTATGACACAAGCCCAGCTGTGAGAATACCAAGAGAATGGAAAGTAAATGTAAATCATGGACATAGTTCTCAAGGATTTCATAATTTGATAAAGAATATACATACAAAGATTTAAACAACTTCATTAACAACATGAAAAAAAAACATGTAAAAACATATACTGACTACAAATGCTGAATGCATGGGGAATAAAACTCATAAATAAAATAAATTAAGCAAAGATTTCTAGGGAAGGGCAACTTTTGTTACGATACCAAAGACAACAGTGGCAGATTAGTAAAGAGAAATATCTGAAGCAGGTTAGAGCGACTTGTACAGTAAAGAAGTGAAGGGAGGGTTAGGAAAAAGCTTTTCTATAGAGGTCATAAAAACAGCAAATGAATCTTTTCAATTATGGGCCAATATCCTGACTTTGGACCTACTTCCTTAAATCTGTAATTCTAGCAGGCCTCAATTTTGTTTCCTTTGATTTATTTCCTCCCTACCATCCCCACTGAAACATGGCTAAATTTAAGGTCAGTGGAGATGGTGAGATACTTATTCAGCATTCACACCTGAGTAATGCTTTTTGTATGTCTTGGGCTAATAGCCAATGTTCAGTCTTAGAATTATGTCAAAACCTAATATTATTGCTTATTCATTAGCATGTATATTTGAGAACCTTGGCTGCTGCTGTTAATTTAATGGTAAAGTGTTTATTGCTGATTTTTCTCAAAACATTTTTAACCTTATCTAGTCAGACTATCTAACCAAGTGTCTAATTTAATCATAAATAAACAACATATTTACATTCTGCTGGACAGGACAAGAGGTAGAAGTAGTGTTTACGTCGAGGAACTTAATAAGCATACAGTTGAATGGTCACATTTTTTTGTGGATTTGTTGGCTGCATGACTAGTACTTAATAAAGTTGTGCTGACTAAATGAGAGAATACTTGACTTTTTAACTTTCTACTATTGCTAATCTTAAAAGGTATTTCTAAGATAGTGTGCTAAATTGCATAATATATGTTTTTCTAATAATTTGTATTTGGTAAAGTTCTTTTTAAGTTAGCTATTTCAAAGAAACCTTACCTAAGATGGAAAATTCACCATGCATAATTACAAGTGTGTTAAAAACACTTAACTTTCTCAACTAATTAAATGCTTCTCCAAACTTCTACTACTAAAAAGCGATACATCTTCTTATAATATTTTGTTTCCTAATTTTATCCTCATTTCATATATATTACATTGAATGTATAAACCTATATACAGAGAGATACAATGGCCAATATTCTGAATTGTTTTATTCCTTTTATAAGGTCATGATGACATGTAAGAAGGAGTCCCTTGAGATTAGAATATTAGATGTAGAGAGTAGATATGGCTGAGATAGAAAGAGGTTTGCTGCCTTAGGTGGAATCAGGAGGTATTATAATTTTGAAGCATGCTGCAGGGATAAGTTAAAAAAAAAAGGTTGATTAACTTGGTGGATTCAAAGCAGTATCTTGAATTTCAAGCCAGGGGGTACACTGTCTAGCTTCTAGTTTCTCTGTTTTTCAACCTCCTGAAATGGAGATATTTCAGTTCAAATAGGGGCTGTTGGTCACTATCGTGTATTTTCTTTTTTCTTCTCTTGCGTTGATGGATAACCCCAGTTTCTTTATTCTGTAACTAACAAAACTATATCGTTTACGGTTTAGATATTTTGGAGTTTGGAAATACTTAACTCTGTAATTCAGCAAGCGATTATTTAATACATGCAGCATTAAGAGTAATCTTGTGAAGCTTTTCACAGGCTAATAAAGGCTAGATCAGTTGGCCAGAATGAAGAGGTTTTAAGTGGAAATGTAAAACACATGCACACACACATACACACACAAAAAAGGCACTGTAGTTATGACTATGTTTTTGGCATAAGAAAATACATGAACAGCTATGCAAGGCAGAATAGATCACACACAGTCAGATGATACTATATGTGACATTTACTTTGTTTATAATGGAGAACTTGCACATTGTTGTGAAAAGGAAGGTTTACTTTTTTTATCTTACAATAATACAGTATACAAATATGAATTTCAGATGGATTTGAGCATTAATTAAAAATATAAAACCCTGGAATATCTAAATCTATATAGTATTCAATATTTTCATCACTCCAGATGTGTTTTTTTGAAACAGAGCTTAACATTGTGCCTTTCAGGTCTACTCCTCAAGGCAGGAAAAAACCATAACAAAACAAATCTGAGGGACAGCAGAAATGGGAAGCTCTTCCCATGATGAGAGACACCAAATGGAAAGTAAGCTTTTCTTGAGAGCTACACCTATGTTTCCCTTGTCATCTGAAACCACTGATTGTAGCAATGGATGAAGATTCTGGAAGGAGAAACTGAAATTTGAAAGTTGTGGACATGTCTGTTATCAAAATGTAAGTTCCTTCTGACTGGCGTGGGAAGAGGGAGAATTAAGATTATTAGCCTTTCAGTTCATTCCTCATTAAAAAGATTTTTAAAAATCTTTTTTAAAATGTTTGTTGTTGAGACTGAGAAACTCTAGAAAGAGGCTCATTTCAGATAGAGAGATAGTAAATAGTATGTTAGTTTTCAGGTTCTAAATAAAGAAGTTTTTTCTGAATCCTGAGACCTGTTACTTCTAATATGCACTGATAGCTCTAACAAATTCTATTCTGATTGGAAAACTAAGTTGTGATTTTTTTTTTAATGGTTATTTATTTCTTACTGAAATTCACATTGGAATTTTTCAAAAGTTTTATTTCTTCATTTGCTTTAGTATTATATTAATGGTCTTTATCTGATTACCTATTTTTTCTAGAATTAAAATATATGAGTACATTTATCTCATAAAGGCAAAGAATGAGTAGATATTTAAATCTTAGAGTGACTTGTTTATTTTAAAAACCTATTGATCTTTATTATTCTTTTTAATAGAATTCAGAATTAAGTTATGTTGAATGGGAATATTCATTTATAATTTTACAACAAATGCTTCTCTTAAAAAATGCTAAGGGCATGCTAGGGAGCAAGTGATCTGATTCTTAGTTTGAGGACTATAACAAGAATACCTCTATTTCTTTGTTTTTTAAATCAGATCTACATATACAAAGAAGAATTTTACATGTAAAAGCAGAAATGTAATAAATCTTATAGTTTTATTTCAATTTTAATGGTTGTGAATAAAATGGGCAAAGAAAAAATAAATGCCACGGTATTTAAAGCTATCTATTTAATATGGTGCTGTTGTCTTAAAGTGCTGATGTTCACACTGTGCCTGCAGAATTTTATTGTGTTCAAGAACATCTGTGAGTTTCTTCCCTTTATCTAAGAAGAATGTGTTATATTTCAGTGAATTATAGGTGGCAGTATACACAGCTAAATTCCTTGCGTTACTGCAGGTAGATGGAAGGTTTTTCAATTGGCTAACAATCATATATTTAAGCTTATTGTGCTTCTTGCTCTTTTAACCATCTCCCCCCTTTTTGTTGTTAATGTAAGAACACCAAATAACCTTCCTCAGATTAAGAGAGTGATTTTTATAGTGATTTTGAGTGATTTTAAATCACAAGTTTATTATGACAGATAGGAAGCATTTTTAAATATTTTACTAAATAAAGATACATTAGAAAGAGTATAATATTCATTGACCAGTTGGTTTCATATGAAAATGAGAATTTAAAGCTAAAGAGACTCAGAATTACTTATCAAGGCAGTGACAGATAATTTTTTATTCTGTCTCTTTCATTTTCTATTTTAAAAGTTACAAGCAAATGTGCTTTGATTGCTAAGTTATAAAATGCAATACTTTTCTGATTTATTATCCCGAAGTACGATATCTATCTTTGAGAAAGTTAAATACAAAATTGCTGTTCTTTATGTCTAATATATACCCTGAAAGCATTATATTCATGGAAATGATAAGAAAATTATATATGGTGTAAAGAAAGAGAATAAACGTTAAATTGATGATCGATAGCTATGCTGTGGCATCTCATGGAGAATAAGAATGTTAAGCTTTAGAGCAGTTTTTTCTGAGACATTCACAAAGTTCATCTGAATGTTTCATGACAGTTATTCAGAGACGTATGGGGTGGTGGAACTGAGGACCAAAAGAGGCAAGCAGGTCAAACTCTCCTGCCCTGATCACTTTTGTTATGTTCTATTTACTGAATCTTGTGAAATGCCACACCCCCTTTTCCTTTTAAACTGACATCATTTTATCTAATTGAAATTCTTCATGTATGAAGCAGAAAATTGAGAACTAGATATTATCAGTGCAGATACCACCCCTGATAAAGTAAGCAATACTTAACTTTGTTTCCTAGAATACTACCCCTGATAAAATAAGCAATACTTTGTTTTTATTTGTGTTTTTTCTTGAGTGTGGAATTTTGTTGATGTTGTTGTTAGCTTTGTTTGTTCCCTCCCCCACCATACTTGGTTTATTCATTTCAATATACTCAATTACTTTGCAATTCTTAGTTCACATGGAGTTTATAATGTTGAAATAGACATTCTTGTTTGCACATGCTCACATTCAGGCTGGCCAGTTGTTTTGCATCATTCGGTTAACACAAGTAGGTATGTAAAATTTGATGATTCTAAAGTGAAATAAACAGACTTGAGAGAAATCCACATTGAAACTATTTCTTCAGATTTTTTCCTGCCCCTTTTCAAGGTTATTAAAGATAGATTCTCAGAACTTGTATGTTTGTTAAGTACTTTTCAATGAATGTTATTGTTTTCTGATAAGATCGTGTTCTTCAGCATTTGGAAGTCTAACCAGCCTTTTGCATTTGAACTTTAAAATAGGCATAGACCTATAGAAACCCAAGGAGATTTTAGTTAAATGTATTGAGTTTATTTTAAAAATAAAGTGAAGCCATGAAAATCTGTGAAAATAGGAGACCAACCCAGAGTGTCTTTAAGATGTGGATATTGCTATATAAGTACAGCTAACAGATTTTCATTTCTTTTTTATTTCATCACATTATGGGGGTACAAATGTTTTGGTTACATATATTGATTGTCTTTGCCCCCCCAAGTCAGAGCTTCTGCCTCGCCCCCCCCTCCCCCCGTGGTGTGCACTGCACCCATTAGGTGTGAATATGCTCCTCACACCTGCCCAACAGCCAAAGAATGTTACCACCTTATGTGTACGTAAGTGTTGATCAGTTAATACCAATTTGATGGTGAGTACACGTGGTGCTTGTTTTTCCATTCTTGTGATACTTCCCTTAGTAGAATGGGCTCCAGGATAGTTGTTTAGGACCTAGGAAAAAAATCATTTATGTAGGTTGTGCCTGCATGAACCTATATGATAAATAGATATCAGACCCTTTACTTTTATGAATTCACATTTAAATGATATAGGGCCCTCCAGAAACTAATAACTTGTTATTCCCCATGTAATTTCAGTTTGATATGAAAAATGGCAAGAAATTTTGATGGTTTGATTAATTTATTCATTCAATAGATACATAATTGAGCATCTACAACAGGGCAAGATATTTGGATACTTTGGTGAACAATGTTCACTTTATGTGAACATAAATGTTCATTTGTGTGTGTATGTGTGTGTTGACAGATGATAACAAACAAGTGTATTAACTGAATTACTTAGTATATTAGGAGGTGGAAACTACTGTGGAGAATAGAAAAAGTAGAACTGCTGGTTAATGGAATCTCTTAATTTAAAATTGAATATTTTTTACCTCTGAAATTTGTGGGGGCTATGGAACACAGACATGAGGTTGAATGGGATATTAATAAATGAAATATGGTTGTTATGACATGGGCAAGAAAAAAACCCCAAATTTGGCTAATTCTTTTTAACTTTTCCTTTAGGAGTCGCTTTAAAGCTGATTTCTCATTAACCACTAAATTGAATGTTTTCCCCCTAGGCAATTTGCCCCAAAGGCTGAATTAGTGGGAAAACCACTAAAAGAACACTGCCATTCTAAAGGCAAGAAAGCTTTTAAAGTAAAGGGATGTCTGGATGTAAAATAGGTTTCGATTTTTGATAGTTGCCTTTTAAAAAATAGAAATATAAGGAAATATTTAAGAAAGTGTCATTGGAGGCAAAACATTGCTTTAGGATGTCAAGTGAGTCCCCAGCAGGAGATTTTGGAGGAATTTCTTGTTTACCTTAACAAAACACTATCACCCATGGGGAGTAGCTAAAGAATAAAATAAAAGTAAAAAAAGTAAAAGCGAAGAAAATTCTAGTTGCTGTTACTTGAACAAGTAAATTTCATATAGAAACTGATGACAGTGAACTATGTCAAACCTGACTACTCTAAGAACATTCCTCCATTGATTCGCCTTTGCAAAAATCTGATTTGTGGTCAGCTGGTAATGAAAATGCTTAAAGATGTTGAATGTCAATAAGATGGGCACTTCTGGAATAGTGCTATGTGTACAGGTGTGTTTCCAGATACATTTTATGAGGTTTCTCTCAACTCAATCAGTTATATAGTTATATAAGCACTAGGCATACAACAAATCATGTTCTCTGTGCCTACAAAATCTGTAATTTCAAAATGCTCACTTCTTGCTGTAGTGCTCTGGAAGACTTTGTCCTCCTGAAATTTCATAGTTTTATTCTACCATCATGCCCATCCCCCAAACGTATTTATTTACTTACTGTCTTCATGAAGTTATTTACTCATTTATTAAAATAAACACCTATATGTTAGGCATTGTGCTACGTACTTACAGATACTTTCCTGGATAAAAACATTCTCATCGTAAAAGTGTTAAGGTGACAAGGATAGTCTGAATACCCAGTCTCTGAAGCACCGTTTAGTTCTTTCTAAGTTACAGCTGTATATAGATTAAAAAAGGAGAAATGGATAACAGTCAGGATAAAGGTAGAAATATCATTAAGTGTGATATCAGGGAAACAAATCTGGATAGATCCAGTTGAGTGCTACATAAGTGATGTTCATAATGATGGCAGTCAATGAGAAAAAATTAAATACTATTGCTTATATGTTTTTTAATAAGGCAAAGACATTTTAAATTCATTTCAGAATAATTTCAACACAATGGTCCACATTTATATAAAGTTAGTAACAAATTATATTAATGATAATGGTTTCAATAGCGTGTGAAGTCCTTGATTATTTTTAAAGTTCTTTTGTAAGGAAAATTATTGTGTGCGTATTATTTTATTTTTAGACTTAGATGAATAAATTGCACCATTACAGATTGTGTTTTATCTGTTTTTTTAATTGCTCCATATGTATTTAACTTACTGATTTGCCATGCCTGATTTGCTACAAATCTTGTTTTTAATAAAGAATCTCCTATTATTTATAGATTTAAAATGCAATGAATGAATGTATTTATAATTATATTATAATCATTCCAAATCACATTTAAATAATTCTTCTCTCTATATACAAGTTCT